TACAAAGTGAGCCCAAGCCAGCCTGAACCACATAGCAAGACTCTGTTTCAGAAAGACCAAAAAAAAAAAAAAAAAAGAAAGAAAGAAAAAAAAAACCCAAACCAAAACAACAATAAAACAAAAATTCATCGAAGGCTCATCACAGCTTGCAAGATGATCCCTTTGGTTTGAAGCCTCCTGCTTTGTTCTGCCTGGATCTATTAAATGGCCTGAGAACTTCCTCTGATTGCCCTTGTACTATGTGTACCGCACCCAAGGTTGACTTGTCTCCCTTCTCCGATTGCAGGAGGCAGCGAAGGTCGGATTCCCGCGGCATCCTTGGTGCCCAACCTGAGCACAGCGCACGGTACCTCCCTCACTTCCCACTGTGATAATGATGCGTTCACTTTCCACTCAGGAGCAGTGGCCTTGACTCATAAATATGCGCGTTAGCAGAAAGGTAAAACACTCACTCCAGCCAGGGGCAACTCTCTGCTCCCTTCCGAGACCATCTGCCAATTTGGGGCTGGCAACATCCTTCGGATCAGCAAGTCCTGCCTCCGTGCGAGGTGTTTCTTGGAAAAACCCGAATTAGCCCCGGGGGCCGCCCCACATCGCTCCCCTACTGCGGAAAGACTCGCCGAGAGAAAGGGGTCCTCAGTCGAGCGTGGAGGCGCACGCCTGCAACCCCCACCACCTGAGAGGCTGAGGCAGGTGGGCTGCAAGTTCCAGTCCAGCCCGGGCAACTTAGCGAGACCCTGCCCCAAAACAGAAAATCAAAAAAGGGCCGGGGATGCAGCTCAACGGGAAGGCCCTGGGTTCAGCCACCAGCACTGCAAAACAAACCACCGCAACGAAAAGGGCTCTTGGTGTGACTCCAGGATACTTGCGCCCGCATCGCCCAGCCTCAGCACCCTCCCCCGCCTGGCCCTTCAGCTCCTCTCACTCCATCTTACATTTTCTTGGCCACATCTGTCTCTCGGAACTGCTCCTTCACCATTGTGCTGGCTGCCCCGTCGCCCTCCTGAGGACTAGAGCGCAGAAACGAAGTTCTCTGCACCTCGCGGCTGCTGCTGGCAGCCCTTTCAGACAATTGTGGTCTCCCTCGGCCACCGTAGAGCGTCCCACGTGTTTGCTTCCTCTTCCGGGGCGTCTGTCAAGAGCGGCTCTGTGTGCACCGCTTTTGCTCTCTCTTTCTCCATCGCCACCTCGCGGCACCTCTTTGAAACTGCACCGAGGCCTCCACAGTGTTTTAAAATCCCATTTCTGGTCTACTTCTCCAAGACCTTCTTCAGACGGAGGCGAAAAAAAGTAGGCACAACCTTTTGCATCCTGACCTTTAGATGTCTGGAGAGCCAAAAATTGCATCTGGTGGAATTTTTTTTGTATCAGGGATCCAACTCACAATTTTGCGCTTGCCAGGCAGGTGCTTATGCCCCTAAGCTAAATCCCTAGCCCTGCAAAATCTTTATCAATATCAGTATTTTATGAATTAAGAACCTATAACTGTTTAAGAGAAGTTAGGTGCTAAAATCAACCTGCCCAGCAAAGAGAAGACCACTATTTAGTCAAACAAAAAGGAAAAGATGCAGAAAACGGCTGTACACGAGCGCCTCAGTTTGTAAAGTTATTTATGGTGGTGGAGATGGTGGTGATGGTGAATTTAAGGTCTTTTTTTCTTTCTTCTTTTTTTTTCAGACAGGGTTTCACTGTGTAGTTTAGACTGGCCTTGAACTTACTATGTATTTGAGGCTGGCCTCAAACTCAGGGTGTTCTTCCTGCCTCAGCCTCCCAAGTGCTGGGATTACAGGTGTGTGCCAACACACCTGGATTATAGTCTTTTTTAAAACCTAGTATTGAGGGTTAAACTCAGGGTCTTTGCAGTGAACTATATCCACAATCTTTTTTCTTTCTTTCTTCTTTTATTTGGGCAGGATTTTCCAAAACTGCCCAAATTGTACTCAAATTTGTGATTTGTGTCTCAGCTTGAGACAGTGCTATGATTACAAGCATGAAGCATCATGACCAGGTAAATTACATTTTTTTGGTGGGGGGGTTTTGTCTTTTTGAAACAGGGTCTCATTATGTAATTCAGGTTGGTTTTTAGCTCACAGCAATCCTCCTGCCTCAGCCTCTCATATACTGGGATTTCAGGTGTATGCTACTAAGCTTTGCTGGACTTTTTCTTATTCATTGAACTACTTACATAGCATTTACATTCTATGGGGTACTGTAGTTAATCTAGAGATGATTTAAAATACCTATGTGTGAGACAGATTACCTTGTAGCCAACTAGCTGGGTAAGTGGGTGTGACCAGTCAATCATGGAAATCCAGGACTTGGTCATCAAATAGTTCCTAAACACTGTGCCTAGACCAATCAGAAAGTGCCATTTTCAATTCTTCTGGTGCTAAACCAAGCAGGTTTTTGATAGGACAGCCTAGATTTGACATCAATATGAGGAACGGGATATGAAAGACCTCTGCCATTATCCTCTGGTCAGTTAGCTTTCTCAGTGTTCCAATCTCACTCTGCAGAGCATACATCTCTTCCCCCCTCCCCCTCCCCCCTCCCCCCTCTCCCCTTCACCTCCCCTTCCCCCTCCTCCTCCTCCTCTTCAGATAGGATTTCACTACGCAGTTCATGCTGGCCTTGAGCTCACTTTGTAGCCCAGGCTGGCCTCAAACTTGCAGTGATCCTCCTGCGTCAGCCTCTGGGGTGCTGGGATTACAGGTGTGCGCCAGCACACTGGGCTTGCAGAACATACTTCTTTTCTTATCTCTCATAAATATAAGATCTTGCTATATTTTTCATCCATCTTGTCCAGTTCTTTGTTCAGGACCCCAAGAACCTGGAAAATGTTTACTGAGCCCCAGGCCCTGGTGACATGTGGAAGCCAGGTGTGGTGCACATGTTTGTAATCTCAGCTATTTGAGAGGCTGAAGCATAAGAATCACCTGAGCCCCAGGGTTTGTGGCCAGCCTGAGCTTGTCACAAATAATAATAATAATAATAATAATAATAATAATAATGATAGCATATGGGTAGATGTGTATAAATTATAGGCAAATCACACATCATTTCATATAAGGGACTCAAGCATGAAGGGTTCTGTTTTGGGCATATAGTGGATCCAAATCCCTATGGGTTCAGAGACTGACATAGCAGATTAGGGTATAGGAAAACAGCTAGCCAAGTGGGTGTACCAGGAGGCATGTGCCCAAACCGTGCACTGGAACCAATCAGAAAGTGCTGTCTTCTGCCGTGGTAGCACGTCACATGCCTGTAATACCAGCACTGGGGAGGCTGGGGCAGGGGGGTGGCTGCAAGTTTGAGGCCAGCTTGGGCTACATTATGAGTTCAAGGCCATCTGAACTGCACAGTGAGACCCCATTTCAAAAAAAAAAAACATACATGGACACACAGACACACACACACACAAGCGCTGTCTTCAATTCTTTCTTGGACAACTCAAGATAGCTAAACTCTGGTCAGCCTGGGGCCACAAAAGATGGCACCACTGAACTCAGGGTCTCCGTGCTGTCTCTCTCTTTTTTTTTTGCTGTGCTACCTGTATCACAGTGGTCAGCTCTTGCCCCATAGCATGTGTTTTTTTTCTACTTTAAATTGATCTATACTAGCTCTGCAGAGCATGTTTCTTTTCTTACCTTTAGTAAATGTAAAACCTTGCTGACTTTTGTGCTTGCTTTGTGCAGTTCTTTGTTCAAGACAGGAAGCACCTGGAAAGAATCTATAGGAGTCTCCAAGACTAGAGCAAGATTGGGATGAGTGATTTACCCATCACTAGAGCTCAGGAGGAGGTCCTGGATTCAGTACCACCGTGGAACCCTTAGAGATTGTGTGACTTTGGGCAAGTTATTTACCTTCATAAATCCTTCTTTCCTCATCTAGAAAAAAGCTGAGGACTAAGTATTTTTCTTTTTTCTTTTATTTTCTATTTTTTTATTTTTTAAGTACTTTATTTCTTATAGTTGATCAAGTTAAATGGCAAAATAAAGTAATTAGCAGGTAAGGGGCACAAACCACCCACCCAAGGAGAACTGATTTACTATTCTGGAATGCTCAAGCAGCCCTTGGAGCCTGCATCCTCTTCTGGGCTAAACTTTTGAGATTCTCCTGGTATCCCTTAGACCATGGAAATGTATATTTTTTATGTATCTGTTCCTCCTTAAGCCAAACAAATTTTTGGATCATGTGAATACTAGATGTGCACTTCTTTTTTTTTTTATTTTTATTTTTTTAGACGTGCACTTCTTAAGGGCTAACATATGCAGGACAGTACAAATAGTTTATAAACTATTTAGGGCCGGGTGTGGTGGTGCATGCCTATAATCCCAGCACTCGGAAAGCCGAGGCAGGATGATCGCACATCCTGCCCCACCTGATGCCCCACCTGATGGCTTCAGGCCATCCTGGGCTAAATAGACAACCTGTCTGAAAAAAACCCCAGCGAAACAAACAAAAATCTTTTAAATCAGACAATCACCATAAAAATCTTAGATAACATACATATGCATTACAAAACATGCAGTGTGCCCGGTACCGATAAAAACAAAAAACAAAAACATGCAGTGTGGTACACGGGAGACAATAAAGGTTTTCAGTTTCAGCCGCTTCCCTAGTTGTAAGAGCTATTGAAGATGTCTTACGAGCCTATCTACCTCTAGCTGGATGAAAACAGTTTAACTATAATTCAGTCTAGAGAGATTTTTTTTTTTCTGGTACCAAGAATTGAAGCTGTGCTTGCCAGGCAGGCGCTTATGCCACCGAGATATAACCTCCAGCTCAGAGACATTTTGAATAGGAGAAATTCAACCGAAGGAATTGAGCTGAAACGGAACACGTAGGTTCCTGAATTTAGCCTCTGAAACTATTCTGCTTCCCGATTGGCCAGTCCAGCAGCTCAGGGGTGTGGCTAAAGGTCATGGAGGCGGGGTTTTGGGCATTTTCAATCAGGCATTGACGCGGTCGGCCTCCCCGCTGTGGATACGCCCCCACGCTGGCGCCGCTCGGGGTCCTTCCGTGCGCTTTGATACGATTGGCCGAGGGAGAGAGTTTCTCTTTTCCTCCCTGGCTGTCTGAAGATCTGTTGCCATCATGGTGAGTCGCCGCAGACTTGAGCGGTCATCCGCCCCATATACGAGCCATCCTTCGTCCCTGAGTCCCGCCGTCGGAGCTACAACCTCCCGTAGCCCGGCTGCTCTTCTCTGGTTGTGTCTTTTGGGGGTCGGTCGTGTAGGCTCCCAGAGCCGCTGCCGAAAGTTGGGGCTGGCTGGCTGCGCTGTGGCATCGGACACGCCGGGCTTTGGGCTTCAGGGCCTCACAGCCCGGGACTTTTGGGAGCGATTGCCGCGCTGGTCGATCTCATGCAGCGCGGTGGATGGGTGGGAGAAGCTTCGGAGGCGCGTGTCCGCTGCAGCCTCCAGTTGCGATGTGCAGCTTGCAGATGACGGCAGCCCGCGGGTGAAGAAGGAGCCGCCGGCCCTCGGGCGAGTGGTGGCGAGTGGCACCGCATCTAATTGTAAACTAGAACACTTTTGGCCGAATGGATTCTCCTTTCCTGTTGAGGAAACGGAGGTCCCTCAAAGGGATGCCGCTAAAAGGTGGGCTAGCCCAAAGGCGTCTCAGCTCCATCATTAAAGGCTCGATACTTGATTTAACTCACCTTGAAGCTATTTTTGTGCTTATCCTTAGTTTTCAAAAATTAAGTATCTACGGGTTCAGCTACTGAAATGAAAGAACATTTTTTAGCAAGTCACTGGTGACAAAGCCTTTGCCCCCCAAAGTTTGGTAAATTTATTTCTGGTCAACATAAACTTGGCAAACGGCTATCTATCTTGGTACATAAAAGCTGTTGGGTAATTCAGAAAGGAACGTGGTTTTCTTGTAAGGCCTTTGAGGGCTTTTAAGAAAGGTAATGGGTCGTTTCCGGTTTCCGGTTTGTGCAGGATTATAACCAGAGTTCTGAGAGTTAATATTTCTGATTGAGTACAGACATGACTAGGTTGGAGGTGATTTTTGCGCCTAAGGAAACAGTTGGCAAAGTCTGGGGACATTCTAGATCAGCACCACAAAGTAGTAGTGTATAGTGATTGGAGACCAGGTGTGAAATAGACAGCACCCGGCCTCCCCAAGAATTACCCAGATTAAAGTATCAGCAGTGCAGATGTTGGAAAATGAAGTGGGTTCGTGAACAACTATAGGAATCCAAGCAGCCAATTGATAAATTTGAAATTTAATTAGCTGAGCTCAGGATTGCTCCTGTACACATCCCGCTGTTTCAGAGTCCCACCGAGTGGTCCCGAATTGGAAAGTAACAGAGCTTTTAAAACCGAGAACCACAAAACATCCTGTTAGAAATAATTTAGCTAGAATCTTTAATTAATTTTTGGTTGACACCTGTATCCTGCTGCTTTTGTTGAGCAGGTTATTTTTCTGTTGTGAGTACAGCTTGTTCTTTTCTTTTGGAATTGTACTCCAGGTAATTTTCCATTCTCCTGAGTCAAATACAGGGCACCAGATAAATGTGGGCTAAAGATAGCATCAGTTATGCCAAGTTATAACAAAACACTTCCCGAGCAATACCTGAAATTTAGAAAGGGAAGAGATTTACAGATGAACAGAAAACTGGAGTATGGTTTGTTGGTGCTGTGCGAGGCATTTCCTGGGAGGTTGGCACTGTGCAGTGTGTTCAGTGTAGGTGGGAATTTGCCCTTTTCCTCTTCGTTGGAACCTTGCTGTCCATGTCTGGTGGCTTTTGAATATTTCTTTCTTTTTTTTTTGTCTTTTTCTTTTTTATTGGTGCCAGGGATCGAACTCATGACTGCCTGCTTGCAAGGCAGGCGATTATGCCACTGAGCTAAATCCCCAGCCCCAGAATATTTCAAAAGTTTAAGGGCATGAATGTGTGTAATCCCAGCCTTCAGGAAGCTGGGACAGGAAGATATGACCAGTGTGAACTACATAGTGAGAGCGTGTCTCAAAATTGAAGAATTGAAACTGAGGAGTTGCCTTTTCTTGTTTTATCTTTATTTATTCATTTATTTTTTGAGACAGTCTCACTATGTAGTTCAGGATATGTGGAGCCCAGGCTGGCCCTGAACTCAGTGAACCTCCTCCCTCAGCCCCGAGTCCTGGGATTACAGGCATGAGCTGCCTTGCCCAGTGAGTTGCTTTATGAGTATTACTGAATTCTAATTAGCCATCTGGCTATTGACTGTTATGTTAGTATAGTTGTAGGTAGTGGGAAGTTGTAGTGCCAAGCAAAGCCTGAATCCTTTTATTGACCAGTATTCTAACATTTTCAGAATGACACAGTAACCATCCGGACCCGGAAGTTCATGACTAACCGACTCCTCCAGAGGAAGCAAATGGTAAGGAGGGGCGCATCATGCCGTGGTTAACTTATTCTTTGTATTTCATTATAGTTACCACTAAACTTGTTGTCTTCTCTTAGGTTATTGACGTCCTTCACCCTGGGAAAGCAACAGTACCTAAGACAGAAATTCGGGAAAAACTTGCCAAAATGTACAAGACAACCCCAGATGTCATTTTTGTGTTTGGATTCAGAACCCATTTTGGAGGTGGCAAGACAACCGGTTTTGGCATGATTTATGATTCCTTGGATTATGCAAAGAAAAATGAACCCAAACATAGACTTGCAAGAGTAGGTACCTTTGGTTTGTTCAACAGCCACTGCAGGCTTAGGGTTAGTGCCTTGGTGCCGAGGGTGTTGTAGAATGATCAAGACCACAGAGTGTAGGAGACCAACGCGTAGACATCTGAAAACGCAAATGGATTAAAATAATCTTTTTTATCAATTTTTAAAAAATTTTTTTTTATCGATACCAGGGATCCAACTCATGACTGCCTGTGCAAGGCAGGTGCTTATGTTGCTGAGCTAAATCCCCAGCCCCTAAAATACTCTTAATGTATTGTGGAGGTTCAGACTTTGAGACTGGAATTTGAGTGGAGGGCAGTAAAATATAATTTATGGAGATGGGCTGGGGAGCAAATAACAGGCCGAGGTTGGAACAGCAACTTGGTACCAGATCTCTGAGGTCTTTTAATACCAAAAGTGAATTCAGACAGCAGGATTTTGGTCCTGTACTGAGCACCGAGCCCTCGAGTGGATTTCAGCTGTGAACGGGGCCAGCTACTTAGCTTGTAGCTTAGTGGCAGGCGCTCTCTGGGATGTGTCTTTGTCCTGCCCCCTTCATCACCCACATACTTTGCTCCAAGTTACTGGGTTAGTCATGCTGTACATCTGTAAGGGAAACAGGTGTCGTAGGTACTGCACTGTCATCATTGGGGGTCTGGGGAGGCCTGGCTGAGGAGGGATTTGAACATAAGATCCTTATAAAACCCTGGGAATCGTCTGCTGGGCCCCAGGAACTACAGATTTAAGAGTAGAGGGGGCCGGAGGTTTAGCTCAGAGGCGTAAGTGCCTGTCTGGCAAATGCAAAGTCCTGTGTTTGACCCTCTGTGGCCCCCCTCCCCCCCCCCAAAAAAGGAGTAGACAGTGGAAGCTGGGCCTGGTGGCATACTTGTAACCCCAGTGCTCAGCAGACCAAGGTGGAGGATTGTAAGTTAGGGCCAGCTTGGGCTACAGAGTGTGACCCTGTTTAGAAAAACCAAAAAAAGTAGACAGTGGAGATGAGTAGGAATGTAGAGAGGTAGAGTTCTTGGTAAATAAAGGTTTCGTGGCCTCCTAGAGAAGTACTGAAGTGGGAAAAGGCCTCTAAAAGAAAGCCAGTTGGAAGGTGTTTTTTTGGTACGTGGGCTTAAACATGACTTTGCAGGGGGCCACCTTCTCAGGCCCCTCCCCACCATTAGAACTAAGTTTTCTGAGTTGCCCAGGCTGGCCGGAAGCTGAGATCCTCCTGCCACAGCCTCTCAGTGCTGTGATTCCAGACAGGTGGTGTCTTGGAAGTGGGAAAAGTTTGGGCTGCATTTCATAATTCCCAACTTACACAGTTGGGATAATGATGCATAGTGTTACAGATACTGAATGTGCTCTTGTCTCCTGTAGCACGGCCTGTATGAGAAGAAAAAGACCTCAAGAAAACAGCGGAAGGAGCGCAAGAACAGAATGAAGAAAGTCAGGGGCACTGCGAAGGCTAATGTTGGGGCTGGCAAAAAGGTACAGATCGCAGGCGATGCAGGAGGGTCTTAGTTTCTGGAAAGAAGCGGTTGTGTTTTCTTAATAACCTTTCTTAATGTTTCTTCTTTCCCTCTTCTGGATTACAGAAGGTAACGTGCTTGGAGATGCCACCTAGCACAGTAGTGTCCTTGACACCCAGTAGAGTAGCTTGGCCCACCCTTGTCAGTGCGTAGATCAACCAGCACGGGGGCCACACTGGTCAGGGATGTGGTGCGCCTCAGGTGCCTCATGGGAAGGTGCTGACTCCTGATTGGCACAGGCAGCGGGAACAGACTCGTTCCCTGGGGCTATTGGTTTCTCATCATAGACTCTGGTTTCCAAAGCAGTGGGACCAGTGTGGCCCGTGCTTACCTGGCCACTGGAGAGGCACCCTGGACCTTGGGGTTGTGTGTTTCTCCAGTGAGCCCAGACTCCGGTGATTTTAATAATGATAGCAGCTTTTGTATCTGCTTTGCTAGCTAGTTATAAATAGTTGGGTGAAATTAAGGTGCTGGGTTATGAAAACAAATAATCAAGTGTTCTGTAAACTCTTTTTTGCCTTTTTCCTCTACTGTCTTGGATTACTGTTCATCAGAAATGAAGTGTCTGGCAGGTACTGAGATTGTAGCACGGTGTGGGGTTGCAGCGCCTTCACTGAGATTGCTTTGATGCTTTTTGCATGTTGGCTTTGGAGGAGTGTCACACACTTCACCCCATAGTATGATCACTTACAATGCCAGGGCCGAGTTGTGAGGGTACCATATGAGCCAAGCGCACATTTCGTCATGTAGTGTTTGGAAGTTAAAAGGTGCATGTTGAGTGGTGAGGACTCATTGGAAGCAGGTGGGTACCGCAGCCCTTGTCCCTTTCTGCTGTCCTGGGAAACACCATGCCCAGAGTCCCATCCTCTGGAAACGTGGGTGTTAGCTCCTGGGAGGGGCCCTCATCTGCGCAGCACTCTACCCTCTGGAGCTGGGGCACCAGTGGAGTTTTGGGCAGCTGTGGTAAGAAACTGGTTCCTGGATTTCTGCTGGCATCCTCAAAGCTGATGTTTGCCATCTACTTCCATTTCCTTTAGTATGTACCTAAACTCCCACTTTCTGCTCCTCCCCGTCTCCTGCATTTGGAATTGAACCAGGGCCTCATATAGGGTACACAAGTGCTCTACTGTGAAGCCACATTCCTAGCCCTTTCTAGCCCCGCCCCCCCCTTTTTTGGTAGAAAAGTTTTTGTTAGTGGGATATTATATCAGACTGGTAGCACTTTTCCTACAAGCATGTGCTCAGAATGGCCCACCATATTTCAGATGCATCTGTGTAACACATAGATAATGCAAAGTGGTTTATTTGGATAGTTCTCAATGATTTCATTGTGGTGTTCAGGATAACTGGAACAAACATCCAACATCAGATAAATTTTTGCACATTTGAACAGCCTACGTGTGTAACCTGTGAAGTACGCTGAGCCGTGCCATAGGGTTTGAAGCTGCAGAGGCCACTGCCTCTGACTGGCTTTCCTGACTCCTTGCCTGGCGAGGCAGGAATCCCAGCCTGCTTGGACACCGATCACAGAGATGTCCAGAGCACAGGGTTGGCAGTGAGCTGCTCTGCTGGTGAGAGCTACTCTGTAACCAGTTGTGTTCCTCTGCCACAGCCTCGAGTACTGAGATTACTGGTGCTGCACCACCATACGCAGCCAGTAATGTTCATTTTTTTTTTTTTTTTTTTTTTTTGTTTTATTGAGACGGGGTCTTGCTATGCAGTTCAGGCTGGCCTTGAGCTCACTTTGTAGTCCAGGCTGGTCTCGAGCTCGCAACATCCTCCTGCCTCAGCCTCCCGAGTGCTGGGATTACAGGCGTGAGCCACCATGCCCAGCAATATTCCTTTTAATTCAGTTTGGAGTCTTGTTTGTTTTTGAGACAGGATCTCCCACTGAGTAGTCCAGGCTGGGCTTGAATTTACAGGGATCCTCCTGCCTCAGCCTTCAGAGTGCTGGGATTACAGATGTGCGCCACCACACCCAACAAATTCAGTTTGGTTTGATGTTAACATTGATGCTTATTCTTACCTCTTAGGTGTAATGGAGTTGTCTTTTAAGCCTAAGTAGTCTCCTAAATAGGAATTTTAGTCTTTTTACTGCAGTTAATTCTGCTTCTTGGGCTGGGGATTAGCTCAGTGGCACAAGTGCCTCCTGCCTGGCAGGAGTTCAGTCCCTCCTGGTACCAGGAAAAAAAAAAATACTGCTTCTTGATTTCAGTATTAATTTGTACTACTTTGGGCTGTGTTTTTTTGTTTTTTTTTTTTAAAGTATTGAACTGAGCTTTAAAAGGGTTGCCTGACCCTTTTAGAGCTCTTCCACTAGGGCAGGCTTAAACTTGAGCATGTGGGGAGTCTGAGGCCTGAGGTCTGGGTGGAACCAAGGATCCAAGGCCTGGCTGTCACCCAGACCCCGGCAGTGGCCGGGATGGTGGGATGGTCTCTCTGCTGGCACGCCTTGCCACCTCATTAACATCACAACACAGCTAAGATGTGCTCATAACCCGGAGGGGGTGATTCAGTGATTGTGTGTCAGAGAAGTATTCTGGGTGCAGTTATAAAGCACAGAACGGTCATATGAAGGTACCTGATTGCATGCACTTAACTGCAAGGTTATTTTGGAGTTTGGAAAGGGACCATTAACAAACTGTTTCTTTTCCTCTCTTTCCCTTCCCTGCCACTGATTCAGTGAGCTGGAGATTGGAGAACAGGTATAATTCCAGTTCTTAACATAGATGAGTAGATTCCCTGGTTTATGATGCTGTAGTGTAAAAAAATCACGTGAAATAATGTTTGTATGTAGATTTGCAAATGCTCTGAGGAGTGGTAACCTGTTAAAATACTAACAGTGACATGACTGTTTTGTTTAATTGTTTTTAAAACTTAGTAATGTTTAATTTATTTAATTCCTAACTTGAATGTGTTTGTTGTTTCATTTTTGTTTTCTGTTGCTTATGCTGTCTCACAAATGTAACGACCCTAGGTCACTAATGTCTGTTCTGCATGAATGTTGTTCATTTTGGAATTTCTTGAAGACTTGAAAGGATTTCAAGGCAGTTGCTGACTAAACTTCTCCCTCTTGCTTCACAGCCGAAGGAGTAGAGACTGCAGTGCCTGTCTGTGGTGACGCGCCTTTTTCTCGGGAAGATGAATAAACTGTAAAAGCTCCCTGTGTCTGGCTGTGTGGAATCTGTGGGCAGCGGCTTACTGGGGTGTGACCCCCATGCAGGTTTCCCTTGGTGGCTGTGTTCCTGTCCGGCAGGCACTCAGGCTTGGGCGGTGGGGGGGGGTGTTCTTTCCTCTTAACAGCAGGAAGGGGTCCCAGAGCCCAATTTAGTTGTCACTTCAGTTCTTTGAGGGCTTTGCTAGATGACACTGACTGGATCACATCTTTGTTTGCCATGGAGTAATCAGGATCTGTCACCTGTATTACAAGTTTGTATTTAGTGGGCTGTGGGTATCTTTGTGAGTGGGCATTTGAGGGCCGCTATGTTCTGCTGAATAGGTGGGTGTGTGTGTGCTTGGTGGGTGGATAAGTTGTCTGACTCTCGTGACTTCACAGGGTTATGCGTGCCTCTTCATCACATAGGGTTGTAGGATGGCTGTTAGAGGTGTCCATGTGAGCACTTGAGGTATCAGTCACTGGGCATTTGCATGGTGGGACTCTGGACTGAGGGGTGTTGCAGGGTAACCAGGGCGGGTTAAGAGTCAAGGAGCTTGGGTGTCTGAGCTGGGGAGAAGATTCATTGCTACACTGGACCATTTTCCCTGAGGGTTATTGATTGGTTTGATCTTAGGAGGCCCATGTGGGAGCCAGGTGTGGAAGTGCTATTAGGAACCATGTCGGGATGGTCTCAGGAAGCAATGGACCACAGGAAGACCTGGTTGGTTAGGCAGGAAGAGAGCCTAGAAGAAAAAGAAAGTGTGGGCGGGTATACCCTGGAGGGCAGAGGCGGAAAGAGGTGTGGGGTGGCCCTGCAGGCTGTGGGGCGCTTAGAATTGCTGCACTTGGGGATCTCTTAGGTTTGTGGGGCCTATGGCCCTGTTCTCTGGCTTGGGGATCTGCTCCCTTGCTAGCACCAGGTGAAGAAGGGGCGCTCTGCTGGTGGGGGCAGGCGTGGAATGCTAGGCCCGTGAGCTTGGGTTTTGTGCCCAGAGTGGCTGGCTGGGGATGGTGTGGGGGCAGGATCTTAAGTGCTGCCGCCTCTGAGCTGGGGGGAGGGCCCTGGAGGGCCACAGGCAGGGTACTGTTGGGGGCCTGACTCAGAGCAGGAGCAGGAACAGAGCGAGGGAAGCAGTGCAGTGCAGGGAAGGGTGGGAGGGGTCTCTGCCCCAGCTGGTGTGCGGAGCAGGGGAGCCCCAGTGGGTCGGAAGTGGGCATCAGAGGCCGAGAAGCAGAGGCTTTGCCATGTGCACAGCGAGGGCTCATGCAGTCTCTGGAGAAGAATTTCCATCAGGTTGGGATGTTAGCAGAAGTCAGCATGGCTGTTAGACTTGGGTGGCATTTTGAAACTTGGCATATTTTACATGAAGATCTGGATTTCCAGCCCCCTGAAATACCAGGTGATCATGCCCTACCTGCCTCTGTCACGACCGTTGTGGTCAGAGGATTGCTTGGTGGTCCTTGTGTTCTTCTCCAGCCTGCACCCAGTCAGCTCTGTGGATTGCTGTCCAGTCCATGTGTGTGTTTTGTGGAAGTCACTTGGTCCTTTGTAGGGCTTCCAGAGGCTGTGCTCTGGCGTGCCTGGTCAGGCTTTTCTGAGACAGGACACAGTGTCGGAGAGCAGTGTGAAAGCTGAGGTGCGAAGTGACTATGTGGCAGGAAGTGAGGGCTTTAAATTGTGGACAGTTGTGATGTGGAACTTGGGGATTCTTGGAGATGAGCACTATGGGCCCTGTAGTAACTTGTGGCCCAGTGTTGTCAGCAGGCTTGGGAAGACCGCGGTGAAGACTGTGAAGCCGACTCCTTAGTGTACTGCAGAGAGCACATCCTTCCCTTCCTGCGGGGAGCATAGGAAGCTGGCTTAATGAGGGTGAGCAGGGGTTTTGGTGCTGCTGGGGGCTGAATCCAGGCTTGGTGCATGGCTACAGGAGTGCTGTGCCACCCAGGTTTGAAGAGATGAGAAGGAAGCTAGAATTAAGTTATAGAAAAGGGGCGGGCAGTTGACCATGTTTCTGCATTTGGAGTGCCACTTTTAGGTTGAGGTTGTTCTTGCACCACCGTCTTTGAGTTGTTTCTGGCGGCCTGTGCCTAAATGGGCAACTCTGCTGCTTCCACCCTGGCTGCCCTTAAACAGCATGTATGTGCGCAGAGCTGAGGCAGCACCTGTTTTAAGCTACATGAACAGTGATCTCTAATCTGTGCAGAGAGGTCTTGCCTGCCTGCGCAGGAGAGGGTACAAGCAGCTGTCGGCATTGCCGGGCACCAGCTCACTCATTCACTGCGCACCTGCTTTCTGGTGGACATAGAATAGCATGTCAGGTTTGTGAGTTGTCTTTGTGCAGTGTGCTAGGTAAGGTGCCTTTGCTATGGGGATATTGAGCAAGAATTAGGTAACCAATGAAATTATTTACTGAGTTGCTGCTTGTGTGCTGCCAACTGGTGGGCAACTTGTGACACCCAGCTCAACTGAATGAGCGTGGTGCTGGGTATGGAAGGCCCACCTGAGGATTGTTGGTAACAAGAAAGGGAGAGGAAGAAAGAGGTGGTGCTGTTGATTCTCCTGGAGGAGCTTGTCACGCTGGTTTTCCGGTTAGAACTTGGAGGTCTGGTCCTTGGCTGTCAATTGAGGGCGGCTGTGGTTCTTTTAGGGGGAGTCCTGGTCCTTGAGTGTCACTTCCTGGCTCCAGTGCAGATCACTCAGCCTGCTGGCACAGACTTTCTATCCTCTACCACTGGCCTTTGGGCCTTCCTGGTGCAGATCCTTGATACAGACTTGCATGATACAGGCTTGCGTGCTAGCCTTCAGCTGGACTCAAGGAGAAAATTCCTATGGCTCTAGGTCTCAAGCCGGACTTGTGTGCAAGATACTGTGGTAAGATCCAGAGCCTCAGCTGTCTTCTTTGGAGCTCTGCTTCATGGGTGGGTCTCTTGCACTCTTGCATTTGAGTCTGGGTGAATATTACAAAACAATCTTAAAACTTTTGTGACCTGTATTTAATCTTTTGCCTGGTAAACTGACTATAACACTGTGTACCAGTCCCTGGTGCGTGGGGGTGGTTCTGCAACCTGGGCAGGTAACCTGCTGCTGCTGGTTGTGGTGGTACATGCTGGTAATTCCAGTACATAGTAGGCCAAGGCAGGAAGATTGCTGCAAGCTCAAGGCCACGGACTACACAGCAAGACACTGCCCCAGGACCCATCCCCCCCAAAAAAGTGGTCCCTAACCTTAAGACTGAGGCTAAGCAACTTGGGTTCCAATGACCTGGCTTCTGTCCCTTACCATGGAGTAGCAGTGATACTATTAATGTGATTGGAAACTAGAGCCAAAATCAGTAGCAGAAGGCTGGGCCCTAAGAGGTTTCTGGGAGAGATCACACAAATGGGGCAGCACAAAAGATCTACAGCCAGACATGGTAGTACATGCCTATAATCTCAGCACTGTGAGGCTGAGGCAGGAGGATTGTTGGGCGTTCCAGTCTAGCCTGGACTACAAAGAGTTGAAGGATAGCCTTAACTATAGTGAGACCCTGTCTCAAAAAGCGCAAAAACGCTCACACGATCTAAATAGAAGTACAGGAACAGGAGTCTAATTTGAGACCAAAAAATAGTGTGGGGAGGCAAGGTGGGAGCAGCCTTCCTACAGGGGAAAGAGACTGAGAGGGTAGGAGCAGGCAGCAGTCACTCCCCTCTGCATCAAGATCCAGGGTCTTGACTGATGTGCCGGGCAGGGTTGCACAGCATGTTGCTGGTGGGGGGAGTCCATTTCTTAAAGGTGTGAGGTTGGCTGTGTGAACACAAGATGCTCCCAGTTCTGAGGGCTTTGCTGGGCTCTGGTGGCTGACTGTCCACGGATTCGGATTTAGCTGTACTTGAGCCAGACAGATTGAGCCCCCCCTCCCCCCCAGTGTCCGTGGCCTGGTGGGCCCTTCATGCAGGGAGTCCCTGGAGGGAGCAGACAAGACCAGCAAAGGACTTGTGCAACTTTTGGCTGAGTACAAGAAAATGCTGGAGATAGGCCAAGGATATCACCTGCCTGACAAGTGTGAGGTCATAGAGCCCGACCCCTGGTACAAGAAAAAAAAAAAAAAAAAAAAAGTGGAGAATTAAATGCTCAGCTCTGGGCCTACCATCCTTGTTACAGCGGAGTTCCTCCTCTGCACGGGAAATACTTAAGCTGTGACTGCTCAATGTGTGCACAGGAAGGGGCTGACAAGGTGGCGTCCAAGCAGTGCCCCTGGAGAGGACAGGGCCTGGGCAGCCAGGTCCTCACCCTGCAGCAGCCTCCCACCAGCGTGGCCCTGGTCCCTGCCCTGGATGCGCAGAGGACCTGGGCTTGTGCCTCCCAGGCCCTGTTACAGTGCAGACTCACTGTGGGGTAGGGGGAGGTGGGATGTGGTTGGAAAGAAACCCTACCCATCTTTTGCAGTGACCTGACCTGTGTGGCTCTCATGCACTGGAAATAATAAGTTCCCTGGTGATGCAGCCAGGTGGAGGATTTCTTTTCTTTCTTTTTTTTTTTTTTGGTACTGAAGATTGAACTCACGACTGCGTGCTTGCAAGGCAGGCACTTTGCTGCTGAGCTAAATCCCTAGCCCCAGGGAATTTTTGACTAAAGATTCTGTAAGGTTCATTCTGCCTCAGAATTCTGTGTCTCTAGTTAGGATACTGTCCCTGTCCCCAGGAAACTGGTAAGTGAAAGGTCATACGATTCCTTCTAATAAAAATAACGCTGCCCCTAGTGTAATCTCTAGTACTTAAAAGACTCAACTAGCAAACATTGGAGAGCATTTATGTGCTAGGTACTGAGCGAGATAAGCATGAATTTAACCTTTTACACTCTCGGAGATACATTTAGCCCTATTGTTTTATTGAGACAGAATCTTGCTGTGTAGCTCAGGCTAACCTCAAACTCTGATCCTCCTGCCTCAGCCTCCTAAGTGTCGGGCTTGTAGGCATGCACCACCATGCCTGGCTACCCCCATTTTTCAGGGGAATTTGAGGCTCGTGTTAAGGAACTCGGTCAAGGTTGCACAATTCTGAAGGGCATTTGTGCCGAGTGTCTATGGGTGTGTAGTCTGAGGCAGAGATTGTACGCAGGTCTGTACAGCTCCATCAGCCTCATCTGAGAACCTGCTAGCAATGCCAGCTCTCAGGCCCTGAAACAGAAACAGGGTGCAGCCCTGTGGGTGATCCTGATGGAGCTAAGGGTGCAGGAGAGCACTGCAGAGGGAATAGCCCAAGGCCAGGAACCACAGTGCTGCCCACGCGTGGCCTCCCTGGTGGGGCGAAGGGATCCCCACAGCCTCCCACAAGGGGGCACTGTGGGCACAGGCTTGGGGGCTGCGGGCTTTGTTGTCAGAGTCCCTCTCCCTGTGTTAGCCCGAAGAAAGCTGGGTGCCAGACGCACGGGGAGGTCATCCTTCTTCGGGAAGGTCTAATGGGGGCGGGGTTCCTGTTTATAGCATTCGCCCCTCTTAGGGGAGCTGGGCCTGTGGCTTTCGGCTGTTCACTCGGGCCTGGCGGTGTCTGCCCATCAGAGCAGCGCAGCGCGGTCTCTGCAGTTCCTGTGTACCCAGCAGCTTCTGCAGCTGCCCAGCCGGGCCTTTTGCAGTTTCTCTGGGGGACAGAGTGTCAGGAGCCCAGCAGTCGATTGTGGCCAGCGCTGAGCTCCATGGTGCTGGGCCTCCGCCGCCTCGTTCTCAGGCAAGCTTGGGTGGGGACCCTAGTGCAGGGTGCCAGACCGGTGCTCAGCCTTCGTTCTGCCCCACCACGCTTCAGGGCCTCAGTTGTCCTTCCCTAGGGTGAGGAAGTGACTCTGAGAGGGATCCTCAGATCTTCCCTGGGGAGCGGAGGACAGACTTGAGTCATGCTCCTCAGAGGCCCCAGGTTTTGAGGGGAGCCGTCAGCCCTGTCACAGGATACCCATCCCCCTCCCCCTCCCACCGTGGCCGCTTCAGCTCCTAGGGATTCGCTGCAAGGCGGCAAGGCGCAACCTATCAAATTGGATTTTTTAGAAGTCCAGATCTATAGACACCCAGGATTTGCCTCTACATTTCTGTTGTGCGTTGTTGGGAAGAAGGGAAGATTTACGCGGAGCTCTCCTTTCCTTTTCCCTGCAGGCTGTATTTCTTTTGAACGCCGCTGCTGGGGGTGGGCGGGGCTTCGGCATCACCTCCTTAGTCTGGGCCGGGCACAGGTGCTCTGTGGCCAGTCGTCAGACCAAGCTGCTCAGGGCCAGCAGGTCTCTGGCACTGTAGTGTTGTAGATGTGTGTTTTGCATGGCCCAGAGTCGAAGGGGCTTCAGGGGAGCACCTGGCTCAGCCCTGTGCAAGGCACTACTGGCTATGTGCTGTTTGGGAACCCCCTTGCTTTTTTTTTTTTTTTTTTTCTTTTTGAGACAGTATCTCACTATATAGTCCATCAGGCTGGCCTTGTGCTCACTCTATTGCCCAGATAGGCCTTGGACTTAAATTGATCCTCCTGCCTCAGCCTCCCAAATGCTGGGATCACAGGTATATGCACCATATCTGATTAAAATCTTTAAAAATTTTTTCCCCATGGCCTCACACAAGCTAGGCAAACATTTACTACTGAGCTACAGACCTTGCTCTAATGATATTTTTAGTGTGTTATTTTTCATCTTTTTTTTTTTTTTTTGTCTTTTTCTTTTTTTTATCGGTACCGGGGATCAAACCCACAACTGCCTGCTTGCAAGGCAGGCACTTATGCCACTGAGCTAAATCCCCAGCCCCCCAGTGTGTTATTTTGAACTTGCCATTCTTCTGTCTCAGCCTCCTGGGGGTACAGGTGTGTGCTACTGTGCTTGTGAGATTAGGACTTTTTCACTCAGAGCCACCAATGCAGCAGGGTCAGCCCTTTCTTGACCCCAGCAGGGCCCCATGCTGTGCCTGGGCTGTGGGTGAGGCTCCCATCCTCCACAGAGGCATGGGGCACTAGAAGTCAGCTTGTCATTTTGTTTCTCTCTGCTGCTGGGGATGTGGGGTACTTTAGCCCAGGCCTTGGGGACAGGGATCTGGGAGACTCTTCCTGTGTTAAGAGGAAGGGAGAGGGGTTTCTGAACAGAAGCTCTGATGCCTGAGGGAGAATTTACCACTGAAAAGTGGGGGTAGGGTGGGGGTGGTGGTGGTGGGGGGCATTGCTGGGATTGTGTGAGGAAACCTTTCCACTGCAAGCTCAGCTTTCTGTCCTCTCAGGGTACCTGAGGGGGGTCTGGTCTCCCTGTGGTCTCTAACACTTATTATTTAGCCCCCCCCTTTTTTTTCCATAGTGGGCTTTAAACCCAGGGCCTTGCACATGTTAGGTGAGTGCTGATTTTTAGCCACTACTCAATTGAGTGTGAAGTGTGGTTACTCATTAAGCTGGCCTTGAACATAGCAGGTAGCTGGGGCTGGCCTCAAACTCACTCCTGCCTCAGTGATCCTCCTGCCTCAGTCTCCTGGGTGCTGGGATTGTAGGTGTGCACTAGTGTGCCCGGATTTAGTTGTGTCACTTTGGAAGCCAGTTAAAAGAAGCACTAGACCTGAGAAGACCCCAGCTCCGTTCGTGCAGGGCTGTCCTGGGAGAAGAGTGCCGTATCTCCCGGAGTGTGGAAGAGGCTGGGAAACAGGTTTGGCCAGATGGGAGAATGCTTTCCAAACTCAGAGCCGACGAGAGGGAGGGCTGCCTGGGACAGTGAGAGTCCATCAGGGTGGATGGACAAGAAGACTGGCTGCTTCCTCAGCGGCCTCGCCACAGGCCCGGCTTGGGGGCTTTTAGGGTTTCCCATACCTCCAGCACCCGAGAGCTGTGGCTGCTTCTGACTTTGTAGGGACTTCCTGTCCGCACAGCTGGGATTGCTCCCAGCCCAGATCTGTCATGTCTCACAGATCCCGAGGGCTAAATTTGGAATTTAATAACAATACTTTGGATTTATGTCGCCTGTTTCCTTGGAGGCACTTCATCTGTTATCCCATTAATTCTAATGTCCCTGGGCGGAAGGTGAGGGAGGGTGAGACAGGAGAAGGAATCTTCTTGGCTTCTCCACCTCCTGAAGGTGACAGAGGCAGCTAAAGAAGGAACAGCCACTCCACCTCGCCTCCTGAGAAGGGGCTGTCCGCTTCATGAGGCCCACTGGGATGAATGTTGGAGGCATAGTATATTGGAAGGTTGAGTCACAAAAAAAATTTTTTTAATCAAGTCTCACTGTGTAGTCCAAGCTAGCCTTGAACTGGTAGCAATCCTCCTGCCTCAGCCTCCTAACTGATAAGATTACAGGCCTATGCTACCACACCCAGCTTTCTACAACAAAGTCCAACAAGGCATGTAGGATCCAGCATGGGTAGGAGCAAAAGGCCCCAAGGTGCAGTGGGAGACCAGTGTCTGTGCAGAGGTTTGTTTGGAGGCCTTATAGGTTGGATCCTGGGGTAAAAGGAGGATGTATTTGAACCCAGTTTGGAAAGTGTATGGGGTGAACCCTGTACTTACACTCTGGCACCCAGTTTGGTCTAATCACCTACTTCCTTTTTTTCTTTTTGTTTTTTGGTTCAGGATCTTACTATGTTCAGGCCGATCTTGAACTGCCACTGATCCTCCTGCCTCAGCCTCCTGGGAACTGGGATTATTTGAGATTCACCTAGTGGGTGGTTTCCTATTTCCTAGCCATGGGATGCAGCTGCTGCCCTTGCAGTGGCTCACTTTTCCCAATGGAAGGGTGGCCCAGGGTGCTGCTGGAGAGCAGGATAGGTCCCCCAAGTGTGCCGGGGGTGGGGACTGAGGACTCACTTGGAGGATGAGCTCTGCTGGACCTGGCACCAAGGGTGGGCAGGAATGGGAGAGACGAGGCCCCGGTGGGGGACTCTGCTGGGCAAACAGAAGGATTTTGGGGTTCAGGCTCCCACCACCACCTGACTGTGACGTCCACTGCAGGTGTTTTCATTTCAAGCCCTGGGATTTGGATTTTGGGCTACCCTAGGCAATCGGTCCAGCCAGCAGTGCAACTTCCAAGCTAGGCTCCAGCTGCTGCTCACCACCCCTACATTAGGCGAGAAAGGCCCAGAAACCATGGCTCAGTCTGCAGCATGCGGCCATGGGAAGTCACCCTGAAAATCATGTTCTGCACTCTCCTCCCCTGGTCCCACATGAAAGTTGGGGCCGGGCTTTAAAGCACAGGGAAGGAATTTCCGTGGCAGGGACCATAGTAGGCCTGGGGCGAGTGTGGAAAGGGGCCTGGCAGACGTGGGCAGCGGTGTGTGCTGTTGGGTGTGGCTCAGCCACAGCACTGTCAGTGGCAGAGCCCCTGTGTCCTCCTCCACCTGTAGTGACAGTGTGGGTCCTATAAGCTTGCTCCTGTCTGGATCCCCGGCTCCTCCTCTCACCAGCTGGACCCTGGAGGCTCCTGTCACCTACATTCCCCTCAGGACCGGGCTGGGAGCACCTCCAACAATCCTGGGACACCATGAAGCAGCACCTGTTGACTGACTGACTGATGGACTGGGGCTGTGGCTGTGTCAGGACTGGGATGGGGGAAGCAGAGGTAGGGAGACATCCAGTGGCTGGGCCAGGAGCTTGGGAAGGAGATGACTTTGGCCGCTAGGCCTGTGAGATGCCAAGGTTTAGCAGCTCTCCCCCACGGTGGACAAGACCTGTCCCTTGAGAAGAGCCGTTAGATTTAGTTTTCCATTCCTCTCTGTCCACATGGAGAAACTGAGGCACACAGAGAGAATTTCCTCCTGAGTTGGGCACGGAGCCCAGCTCTGCCTTCTGTATCTCCCAGCAAACTTGAGTGTCCGTGGGGGAACCCTATGGAGGGTTGAGTACTGGAAATGTACATGAGGGGCTTTCTCAGTGGTCACTGTGGCGGTGGTCGGTGGGTGCTAGAGTGGCCATGGCGCCAGAACAGTGTCAGTTGGAAGCTGAGATGCTGGCTTGGCAGTTCATGATCCGTTTTGGCACGCTACTATCCCTCACCGGATAACTATCTTGTGGGTGGGTGGGTCTTGATTGGCATAAGCCAGTGACAGTACGGCATACTGCATGAGCTGTAAGACCTAAGCCAATCAGCGCATGGAACAGCCCCGGCCAAAGGGACTGACTCATGTTGGTCCAATCAGAGTTGGTGAGGTGGTTTACTTGACTGTTGGGAAAGGATCTCTCAGGTTCCAGATGGCCTAGCGGGCAGATGTAACGCTCGGATGCACCACAGACATTTTTCTGTCTCCGCCTGGGGACAGAGTTGACCTTTGGAGCAAAGAAAAGCTGAGAGGATATCAGAGAAACAACCAGATCCTGACCAAACCTGCCTATAGAATTTATATCCCTGGCCTCTAGCTGTGGGGCTAACAGGTTTGTTCAAGGTAAATAACTGTTAAATACATCATTTAAAGTAGTTTACGTTGGTTTATCTGTTACTTGTTGAAATACATTTTTTGTTTTGTTTTGTTTTTTTGGTTTTTTGTCTTTTATCGGTACCAGGGATCGAACTCACGACTGCCTGCTTGCAAGGCAGGCGCTTATGTCGCTGAGCTAAATCCCCAGCCCCATATTTTTTCATTTTAATAAAATTTATATGCTAGCTGTTGTGTAAACCTATAATCCCAGCACTTGGGAGGCTGAGGCAGCTGTGAGTTCAAGGCCAGCCTCAACTACATAGCAAGACCTTGTCTCAAAGAAAAAAAAAAGAATTTATATTGTATAAGAGGTGATCAAAGTATGTGAGTGGTTAAATTAAAAAATTATTACAGTAAAAACCATATTGCCCCGAATCTCCCTCAAAATACTCCCACTTAGAGCACACTTATCACATCATTCTTGTCACTTTCTGAAGCACTTCTTAGTTCTGTTTTGTAAATGTCTTTATGAGTGTGATAAAAAATACAGTGAATGCTGCTGCCAACAGGATGTCCAACAGGAGGACTGGCTCATTAAAAAAGAGGACAGGCGCTGAGGAATTAGCTCAGCGGCAAAAGCCCCAGCCTGGCAAGCATGAGGTCTTGAGTTCCATCCCTGGTACCAAAAAACAAACAAACAAAAAACCCCCAAAACAAAAATGCTACCTCTAAACACATGGGACTTTTGGGGGACATTCTAGATCTAAACTGTGATAGTCCTCATCTTTTTTATTCACCAGATCTGTCACTGTGTGACTTCTAGCTCTTCCCCAAAGTAAAAATACCCATGGAGCCAGCTTAGCACACAGAGATAGCTATAACAACTCAACTAAAGACACTCATAAAGGAGACATCCTGAACTGCTCCAGCAAGTGGCAAGAATGGTGAGAGAAGTGTTTTTAAAACAAGGGGGATCAGGCTGGGGATTTAGCTCAGCAGCATAAGGGCCTGCCTTTAAGCACCTGGTTGTGAGTTCAATCCCCGGTACCGGTAAAAAAATATATATATGTACAAAGAAAATAAGTAAACCAGGGGGGATTGATGGCAATGTGTCTTTTACTGTAATAATTGGTTTTTAAAAGAATTTAAGCATCCACCATGGTTTTTGATCAGATCTCATATTGAAGATTTTTCTTTGTTTAGATTTGGTAGCATAATAGAGAAGAGAACTATATGGTCCTCACCCTCCATGAGCACAGAATCTAGAAGCCACGAAAGGAGAAACGCAAACATCACACAGAGTCACACAGACACAGCCAAGGTGAGTAGCAACAAGAACACAGCAGTGTCTTGGCTGGGTCATTTACTCCCCAGGACTCTGCTTTGAAGATCTAGTTTTGTGTGGCTTTCTCCATACTTTGTGTGAATCCAAGGAGTTCTGGAAATTCTCACTGATCTGTGACCAAGGATAGGGACAGCAGTCAGAGACCACTTTGAGTGTCAGAATGGATAGACAGAGCATTTACGTTAAGGAGCGTGACATGTCACTGGTGGTCTGTGTAATCCTAGCATTGTCAAGGAAAATAGCCTCACTGGTATTTGGGTGACAGGTAGTGATGGGCCGTGAGGGTGCAGTGGCAGAGTCAGTGTGGTTTTTGCTCAGGGTGGGCTCTGAAGCTCTGCCCGAGTCCCTATTTAGGGAGATGCCATCTCTCCACCAAGCCTGGAGGGTGAGTGCTGAGATCTGCTGAGTGCTTTTTTCCTGACAGTGGGGCAGCGTGGGCTGCCAGCATGGTGCCCAGCACTGTCAGAACCATGGAGATATCTGGCTTCCTACAAACTAAACATCATCACTGCCTTGTAGAAACCGGGCTGAGGAAAAGGGTGACTTCAGGACAGGGCAGAGCTGACACATGCCCCCTTGAGAAGGACACATTCAGAAGGGATGGCCCTGCCCACTCTGGGTGGGTACCTGTGAGTGAGTGGCAGGTGGCTGTGTGCCGTCCCATACATGGGGTCCTTTACCTCTTTTTTCCTTTTGGAGAGTGGTGACCAGTGGGCTCCTTCCTGGAAATCTATAAATGAATTAAAAACATCAATTTATAAAGAAAATCAAGTGTGTTCAAGACCACTTAGCAAACACATCTAAGCACTTGTGATGAAACAGCACGAATGCTTCATTAATGCGATAAAAGCCATAGATTATGGCAGACCTGATTATATATAATTCAAAGTAGCAAGGGACAGACATCTGTCACAGCTGTGCCATGACAAAAATATTGGGATGGGGCTGTAGCTCAGTGGTGGAGAGCTTGTCTAGCATGCACGAGACCCTGGGTTCAGTCCCTGGTACTGGACAGATAAATCTGTGATTGCTATTTGCCACAGAGTCACTGGAATGGTTCTAATCATGGTAAGATGAATTGTTATCTAAAATTACAACTATAGGGCTGGGAATTGAGCTCAGCAGCACAAGCGCCTGCCTTGCAAGCACACAGTTGTGAGTTCGATCTCTAGTACAAAACAACAACAACAAAAACAAAACAATTTTAAAATCTTACAGGATCATAAAAATGAAGTTGTAATTTTTCCTACCCATGTTCTTAGACCTTGTTTATTGAGACAATATCTTGCTGCATAGTTCAGGGTGACCTTGAAGTCACTAGGTGGCCTACGTTTGCCTTAAATTCATAGTGATCCCCATGCCTTGGGCTCCCAATTACTGGGATTACAGTCATGTATTGGAAGCCATTGAAGCTGGAAACTAACCACAAATGCAAAGCTGGGGCATGGCCTTCTCAGGAACAAAGAGTGCCTGGGGCAACCACCTGAAGAAGCTGCTTCAGCCCAGAAAAACACCTAGCCCCTAGATAATCCAAGAGATGGGTTGCTAGGCGAAGGCTACCAGGTGATATTGTGTTGCTAAATGTATAAATGAATGGTGGGAAATGGGTGTCTTTCCTCCCATCAGGAGAGAGGACTCCACCTGGTCCCAGCTTTCTGTGTTTTGTCTTCATTTCTTTACCTTCTCTCCATCTTTCATGGTGCTCACCCTGGGAACCTCCAGAGCCTCGTGGGTCCCAGCAGGCGGGTGGGCTGCTTGTATTCTATCCATGGATCTCCTGGAATGTCTTTGGATCCTAAATGAAGATTCCCTGAGTGGCAAGGGCTTGCCCTCATTTGCGTGTGTGTGTATATAAAATTATGTAGGTATATGCATAAAATTACATAGGTGTATGCACCTATATACCCACATATTTGGGAATCCACCTACACACACACATGCACACACACACACACACAGAGAGAGAGAGAGAGAGAGAGAGAGAGAGAGAGAGAGAGATATGTGCCCAGAGAGACACAAACAGGCCCACTCCCAGGATGTGGGGCCACATGCACACATCTCTCTCACAAAAAGTGTGTAAACAATGCACACTTACTGATTCATGCCCATGGAGCTGCAAGGCACAGGTTCACATGCCCAGTGTGTGGACACACAGCCGGGCTGTATAGCCAGACCTTCCCCCATGCAGAAGCCCCCGAGCTGCATGTGGCTGCTGTGTGGCAGGAGTGTGGACAAGGGAAGTCAAATTTACACCATCTGGATTCTGTCCCCCGGCACCAAGGAGCTGCAGAATAGTGTCCAATCCTCTCTCCCAAGGTGCAAACCAAGGAGCCAGCAAAGTCCCTAATCTGTCACCTAATGGGTGACAGGGATTTGCTCAAGTCGCTGTGCCAGCAAGCCAGTCCATTTGGTCTTATCTGACCTCATGAGGGCTGCAGGACCGTGGGCCCAGGACAGTGCCATGGTGCCCTCAAAGGAAATCATTCTTCATTGGTAATGAACATTATGTCTGCAGCAACTAATGGCCCAACCTCCTATTCAGTTTATGTAAAGTAAAACAGGCCATATGCTGCTGCTTTCAGAGTTTGGGTGTTTAAATTAAATGTTGTTTAATGAATATTCAAACCCATTTGTTCCAAAGTTGCGCTCAATGTGGCAGCGGCTTTCATTCCCCCCTTCCTCGAAGCCCCCTCCCCGCACCAGTACCCAGGGTATTAAGCCATTAGAACAGGGTGTGAACATCCAGGCATCTGTCTTCCAACAGAAAGTTGGATATTAAAATGCCGGAGCAGATGACAGTATAAATAAAGACATACAGTGAGAGGCTGGTCTGGTGATTTTTTTGTTTGGTAATTAAGACTGAGGAGGTTTTGACTTAAGTTCTGTCTTCCTGAGGAGCAGAAGTATATGCCGAGTCCTGTCCTCCTCTTTGCTTTGCCCAGTAGCCCAGGGAGCCCAGGGAATGGCATTCACGCTGGAATTTCTCTCTGTGGAATGGGTTGAATGACGAATGTCAGCTTGGTGGCGTGAGATGCAAAGTGGTTGCCAGCCGCTTCCTCCTGCTGAACGCCGTCTCATTTTCCTCAACCCTTGTGGAGTGAAGGCCATAGCTTTATGCCCATGGCAAACCTGCTACAGTCCAGAATGACAGGATCTTGGATTGAGCCTCTCCCCTTCCCATGGGAAGCCAGGCTGGACTTGGAGCAGGCGGGTGTGAGACAGTAGCATTTGCTCTGGCCACCTCCTGGTCCTCCAGCGTGGGAGGCCTCCTCTGGACTTGAGGCAAGGCTTGCTGTGGGCAGTGGCAGGAAGAATGGTGCTCATCAGGGTCAAAACTCTACTCTGGCCCTGTCTCACCTGTGCCTTGCTTCCTTGTGACTGACCATGTAGTCTCTGAGTAGACGGTGGGGCTGGTGGGCAGTGTCCAGCTCTTGGGTGTCATTGCCTTTCAGCCCCTGGAATGGTGCCTATCCTATCTCCTTCTGGGAGGTAAACATCATTTCCCTGGGCTCTGCTGGGCTTCTGGCCATCTTGCAACCTTTGTACCTCTAAGGGACTGCATAGGAAGGACCATGAGCCAGATGACAGGGACCTGCATCCGCTTCTTCCTAGGCTGCCATACCCCACTGGGGGCATGGGCTTCTCCAACAAGCCTTCCCACACTCCATGTTCACATATACCCCCTAGCTGGGGGACCCAGGCCTGCCTCTCCCACGCTCTGCCTCCCTAGACTCTAGTGCCAGTTCAGTGCTGCATCACAAAGGCTGCAGGTTCTGCAGCTCAGTAAGCACCCAGCTGGGGAGGGAGATCCCAGCCTCCCATCTTTTGGGCACCCCTACTTCAATGAGCTAGTCTCTTGGAGCTTCTTCCTCAGGCTTTGAGGCAACTTTGTATGCATGATGGCTCGCCCTCCTTTCCTGTCCCCAAATTACCTCCCAACCCAAGAGCTCACCGTGCTTTTTTCTGATCATACAAATGGAAGACCCTGAAGCCTCCCTCGCCAGCCCTGAGCTGTTCCATGGCCCTGTCTCCACTCGGACACTCCACCAAATTTCCCTCATCTCTTCTCTTTCCTCTCCTACCATCCAAGCCAGCACTTTCTCGACTGCACGAAATAGCCACACAAGCATTTGTTGTGCAACTACTGTGTACCATGTGTCAAGTGCGGGGGTTTCCAGGGCAGCCAGGAATGGGACCCGGGAGAGAGGGTCAGGGTGATGTGGTGAGAGTCAGAGCAAGCACGGGGTGAACACAGCTTGAACCGGGATAGCCAGCAGGGGAAGAGGTGTGCAAAGGGTGTCGGGGAATGGGAGTCGCAGGAACAGGTTGGGGAAGTTACGGGTTTTGAAGTGTGAAGCACCAGATAGGGAGAGGTAAGCCGCGGGCTGGTTTCCTGTCTGTCCTGCACTCCCCTCTTCAGCCACACCAGCTGTGACTGACTTCAGCAGCCATGGCTGCTGCCAGCCATCCCACCGGCGGGGAATGATGCGATGCAGGTGCCCATTACAGAGCCTTACCTTAACTTACTTACTTACTTTCTTTCTTTCTTTCTTTCTTTCTTTCTTTCTTTCTTTCTTTCTTTCTTTTTCTTTCTTTCTCTTTCTTTCTTTCTTTCTTTCTTTCTTTTTTTCTTTCTTTCTTTTCTTCCTTCCTCCCTCCCTCCCCCCCTCCCTCCCTCCTTCTTTTCTTTCTTTCTTTCTTTCTTTCTTTCTTTCTTTCTTTCCTTTCTATACTGGATATCAAACTCATGACTTCACGCCCACCTCAACTTTTCTTTTAGGCTTGAATTCTTTGTTTGAATTCAGAGTTTTTCTTATCCTTGATTTCCCTTTGTTTTCTTGGGCTGTGCATTTCCTGCAGGATCCAGAGACCAGAATGTGGTCCCTGAGCAGGCTGTCCGTTCAGCTGTGTCTCTGTTCATATTGTCACTTTGCACATAGCAGGACACACACCCTCAGGAAAAGGACCCGCTTGTG